CATATTTCCGATTTCCATCATAGCTCGGTGAGATTGATTATTTTCAACTTACCAGTTTAGCTCCGCCCGCTACCGCGCGCATTGATAGAACTGACAATCGATGAAGCTTTAGGTTTCACCGCTAAATTATAGCTGCTTCGTTAAATGTATTACTGTCCGTTGCATAGGCTGCCCATCTTGGCTGTATCTCACTGTTTGATAAGCGCAGTGAAGTGCACAGCTAAAGTGATGATGTAAACAACCACTATGCGTCGAGTATCGAGGTAATTTAGCGGTCGAATATCTCAAAACGGAATGCCCAGTATTCATTATCATATTTATTCGAGCATCCCATTCATCCTCAAGAACTCTGGAAGAAGGGTGTAGCGGTCGAAAGGTGTTGAGTTTACAATTACAACGCTGATGAAATGATATTGAAATGAAAGGCATTATCTACAATCTGCTCTCTATTTTCTATTTCAAGTGCTCTCTACGTTCGTACGCATATCGTTACTATCAGTCTCATCAGTCGTTATCACTTTTGACCCCCACCAAATATGTTCCCGTCCCACCCCCTATATCATGCCCCAAAATCAGCTCCTGACGACTGCTGCGAAGCGCACTATGAATTTCGCGACACTTGCGTTCTAGGCCTTTTATCAGCCCTTATCAGTTGTTATCACTTTCTGTACCCCACCAAATATGTTCCCGTCCCACCCCTATATCATGCCCAAATCAGCTCCTGAACATGACATGCGAAGACGCAACATGAATTTCGTAAATTTGTATGTCAGCGCCTCGTATCTAGCTCTTATCAGTCCTTATCACTTTATGACCCCCACCAAGTATGTTCCCGTCCCACCCCCTATATCATGACCCCAAAATCAGCTCCTGAACACTGCTGCGGAGCGCACTATGAATTTCGCGACACTTGCGTTCTAGGCCTTTTATCAGCCCTTATCAGTTGTTATCACTTTCTGTACCCCACCAAGTATGTTCCCGTCCCACCCCCTATATCATGCCCCAAAATCAGCTCCTGAACACTGCTGCGGAGCGCACTATGAATTTCGCGACACTTGCGTTCTAGGCCTTTTATCAGCCCTTATCAGTTGTTATCACTTTCTGTACCCCACCAAGTATGTTCCCGTCCCACCCCCTATATCATGACCCAAAATCAGCTCCTGAACACTGCTGCGGAGCGCATTATATGATTTCACGACACTTGCATTCTGGGCCTTTTATCAGCCCTTATCAGTTGTTATCACTTTCTGTACCCCACCAAGTATGTTCCCGTCCCACCCCTATATCATGCCCCAAAATCAGCTCCTGACGACTGCTGCGAGCGCACTATGAATTTCGCGACACTTGCGTTCTAGCGCCTTTTATCAGCCCTTATCAGTTGTTATCACTTTCTTACCCCACCAAATATGTTCCCGTCCCACCCCCTATATCATATCTTGAAACCAACTCCTGACGACCACTGGTGCCCGAGCTATGAATTTCCGGTCAGACAGACAAACACATACACACACACACAGACACACACACACAACCGCTTAGCCGATTATATATAGTAGGATATTAATCCTCATTCGATTTGTTTGGTGATGAGGGATGGCGGCGTGGGGGGGGCGATGTACCGAGATGTACTGTGTTAAAATCATAATTCCAATTGTTCCATCCAGCATCGACTGGTTCCCCATCAAGTAGCGCACACATCAGGATGCGGAGCTAAACTGGTAAAATACCAATTGCGTACTACTCTGATTGTTTTCCGCTGTCATTGTGTTGAAGTTTGGCGGCTCAATCTTCTCTCCAGATTCGTCTCGTTTTGGTCGAAGTTTGTCGAGCGATTGGAAATCGGGCAGTTCTCGTACGCAAGATATCCTAGAACTCAATTCAAGAGATAAAATGGTTCTTGAAGGACTTCATGTACTTCCCTCTATCATTACCTCGATGCCGACCGTTGCATAAGCGGTTCCACTTCTTCAATTACTGTCTGTACGGGTCTACCAGCGAGCATTGCATCACGTTGGCGGTTTTTGAGTTCCTGGTCAAGGCAGTTATTAATGTTGTGAGCTTTGTTATCTGCTTAGGATATCAAATGTCGCGAAGTCTTGTCTACCTGTCGCTTTGCCACATGCACCTTCTCTCGATTTTTATCTGCTCCGCAAGAGATAATGGCACTGCTTACAATGAATAAAACATAGATCCACAAATCTGAAAACTAAAAGATGTAGCATTTAATTTCTATATTCTGCACTTTGGCGCAATTGGGAATGCTTCATGTGTGATGAGCTTAGGACATTTGTATTTGTGAAGAGCAATTTCCTTCTTTGTGAACCTCGGCACTGATGTTTGTTTTAATTGTACCAGTTTAGCTCCGCCCGCTACCGCGCGCATGACACGGAAGCCTTTGATAGGACTGAGAATCGGTGAAGCTTTGGGTCTCACCGCTTAACTATAGCTGCTTCCTTAAATGCATTACTGTCCGTTGCTCATCTTTGGCTGTATCTCACTGTTTGATAAGCGCAGTGAAGTGCACAGCTAAAGTGATGTATGTAAACAACCACTATGCGTCGAGTATCGAGGTAATTTAGCGGTCGAATATCTCAAAACGGAATGCCCAGTATTCATTATCATATTTATTCGAGCATCCCATTCATCCTCAAGAACTCTAGAGAAGGTGAGCCGGTCGAAGGTGTTTTGAGTTTACAATTATAACGCTAATGAAATGATATTGAAATGAAATGCACTATCTGCAATCTGGTTTCGAGTGATCTCTACGTTCGTACGCATATCATTACTATTAGTCCTCAGCTGTCGTTATCACTTTTTGAAAACCACAAAATATGTTACCCGTCCCACCCCCATATCATGTCCCAAAATCAGTTCCTGACGACTGCTGCGAAGCGCACTATATATTTCGTGAAATTTGTGTTTCAGCGCCTCTTATCTGCTCTTATCAGTCGTTATCACTTTGTAACCCCCACCAAATATGTTCCCGCCCCCCCCCTATACCATGTCCCAAAATCACTCCTGACGACTGCTGCGAAGCGCACTATGAATTTCGTGAAATTTGTGTTTCAGCGCCTCTTATCTGCTCTTATCAGTCGTTATCACTTTGTACCCCCACCAAATATGTTCCCGCCCACCCCCTATACCATGTCCCAAAATCAACTCCTGACGACTGCTGCGAAGCGCACTATGATATTTCGTGAAATTTGTGTTTCAGCGCCTCTTATCTGCTCTTATCAGTCGTTATCACTTTGTAGCCCCCACAAAATATGTTCCCGCCCACCCCCTATACCATGTCCCAAAATCAACTCCTGACGACTGCTGCGAAGCGCACTATGATATTTCGTGAAATTTGTGTTTCGGCCATTTCTGCTTTATCAGTCGCTATACACTTGGGAGGGCGCCCCACCAAATATGTTCCCGCCCCACCCCCTATACCATGTCCCAAAATCAACTCCTGACGACTGCTGCGAAGCGCATTACATATTTCGTGAAATTTGTGTTTCAGCGCCTCTTATCTGCTCTTATCAGTCGTTATCACTTTGTAACCCCCACCAAATATGTTACCGCCCACCCACTATATCATATCAAAAAATCAGCTCCTAACGACTGCTGCGACGCGTGCTATGAATTTCGTGACACACGCACACACACACACACACAGACAGACAGACATAGCGTTTTATATATAGTAGGGATATTGCTTTGTGTAACTTCGTTATAACTTCTTTCGGGGCAGGAATTTAGTTCACTATCCGCCGGACGTTATTTGATTGATCGTCTCTTCGGTGGTTAGACTTTGCCAATCCGAGTTATTCCAAACTGACGCAGGACACCACATCAGGAGGCCGCAAAATTTCAAGCAACGCAAAGTGAAACCAAAGCGCCAACTTTATTTCACTACACCAGTTTAGCTCCGCACGCAACCGCGCGCATCAAATGGTGGACTTCAGTGAAACTGGACACTTGCAGAATATTAGGTCACGTGACTGAGAAACTTAACAGTAAGATGTTTTGGAAGATGTGTCACATGATGTTTAAAGGTTGTCCAGTTTCGCTGAAGATTGTCGCGTAATGCGCGCAGTAGCATGCGGAATGAGAATGGTACTTATCATGACTTCGTAAACATTTAGCATTGATATCGAGCTCGGGCGATTTAGCGGTTTATAGAATTCCCACAATTGAAGAATCGGTGTGTAAGTGGAATATAACCAATCAATCAGCATCAATCGATGATGGAAATTGGAAGGGTTTTGAAAAAGAAAGAAAAAAGAATTGAATTTTTATTCGCTATTAGTCCAAGTCCAGATAGTGGAGCAGCTCAACTTCCTTTGCTTTTTTAGATGAAAGGGTGGAAATGGAACATATTCCCGTGCTAGGAATCTGGTTAAGTTTAACCGAGTGCACACTCAATTGTCGCTATTTTTATTAGTGCACCTGCCTTTCATACCCCTTTCTGTCACCCACATTCACCGTATCTCCGTCCCATCTTGTAGCGTGTAGGAGCTAATATTTACTGTCACCACGAAGGCTACAACGAAATCAGCGGTACTCAAAATCCTAACTTCTTTATCAACCGTTATCGGTTGTTATCGCTTTTGATCACCCACTATCCGTGTTCCCGTCCCATCCCCTATACCACATGTGACAGCCAAGGTTCCAATGTCACCGCGAAAGCCGCAACGAAACTGGTAGTATCCACACTTTGACGCCCCTTATCAGTTCTAATCAGTTGCTACCACCTTCTTCCAATCACCCTTTTGGTCCCTGCCTCACCCTACATAATATTCATGAGTGCGAAATGATTAAAAGGTGAACCCAAGGTCGTTCAAGCGGAAACTGACGAACACAGTGAGCAATTCACCGATGCCCTTTATCAGAACCCTTATAATATTGTCAGTCACTTTAACTTGCTCAACCAAATTGGAGGTCACAGTCTCCTACCTACACAAAATATTCATGAGATTGCTAAGCACAATCACTGCCAACACGCGAACCGGAGTACGGAAGTGGTAGACCGTCGGCTTTCCGTGACGGCCTGTTATGCAGGCTTCATAATCCATCTATATCAGACTTTCCGCCACCATCATTAGTGTTTCACGCCCGACACGCCCCACCTATACTACCTTAGACGTTTATGAGCGACTCCTGAAACTAGGAATTCAAAGGAACGAAGTATATGAATTTCCGGTCAACACACAACACACACACACACACACACACACACACACACACACACACACACACACACACACACACACACACACACACACACACACACACACACACACACACACACACACACACACACACACACACACACACACACACACACACACACACACACACACACACACACACACACACACACACACACACACACACACACACACACACACACACACACACACACACACACACACACACACACACACACACACACAAACACACACACACACACACACACACACACACACAACAACACACACACACACACACACACACACACACACACACACACACACACACACACACACACACACACACACACACACACACAACACACACACACACACACCACACACACACACACACACACACACACACACACACACACACACACACACACACACACACACACACACACACACACACACACACACACACACACACACACACCACACACACACACACACACACACACACAACACACACACACACACACACACACACACACACACACACACACAACACAACACACACACACACAAAACAACACACAACAACAACAAAAACACACACACACACTTAACCGATTATATATAGTTTAGGATACTTCTGCCGTCAAGCGGGCTCTCCGGTCTCAATATGTGGCAAACTGTGGTAGTGACTTTGACTACGGAAGTGGTACACATGTGTACCAGCAGTAGTCAAAGGGCTAAGTGAATGGATGCCGAAATGAGGCAACTTGTTTTCTATGAACCAATCTTTTCAGCAGTTCAGGGGCAACAGTGCAACTCCCTAATAGTGATGATTTTTCGACTAAAAACGGTAGTTCGCTCATGTTCTACGCGATGTGATGTGGTTCTTCTGATAAATATGAAGTGCTGGTGCAAAATGGGCTGGCAGTGAAGAAAAAAGGGAAAGAATCCCATCGAAAACGCTTGCGTTAAGCTCACTCACCTAGTACGGCTGTGCTAAGGCAATAAGAGACTAAGGATAGCGCGAAGAGGAGAGTAAAAGGCGAGCGAAGAGAGCGCAATAGATGAGAGAGCCTTAGGCACTGCCTGATTAAAAATTGCAGCTACATAAGCTTGCTTTACAAAACCCTAGCGCTGTGGTCGGGTGATTTCCCTGCAGGGGAATGCCATATCGGTGATTGTCCACCAGGAGTCTGTCCTACAGATTCAAAGGAACCGCTCACACTTCCTCTTGAGCTGTGCTTTTCAACAATGTAGCCCTGAGATTCCAAAAGGAAGCGATCGTTTTCACTAACCCGCGAAATGCCATGTTCAAAAAAGTTGTGGAAGCACCTCTCAACATAACTACGTAGAGATAATTCCAGAGCTCATGATGGAACTCAGCGAGCTGCACGACTTAGCTGGCAGTAACACAAGCGCGCCAACTATGAAATGCCATGGTATGAAGTACACATTGGGTGAAAAGTTGATAAACAAACGCTAACCATTCAGGTTTGGATGACGACACTGTCACTGCCATTCCCCTGGACGAAGACGAGTTTCAAGATGTTTCTCTCAGCAGTTAAAGGCCAATTATTGAAGCTGAGTCTCTTCACGCTTCATGACTATTCCTACCTTTTTTGACATCGATTTAGTTACACACTGCATAATTAATAGTAACGATACATTATCGTGCTGTTGACTTCATATTGCTGTAGTTTAAGATGTGGTTTTTCCAATAAATTGTTATTGTTACGTAGTGCCACTTACCAGGAAAGCCTTTCAGGACATGGAGCCCTTTTTGAAAACGGTTTTTTGCATGATAAAGGGGCACATGCATGGAGTACAAAACTAGGCTCCATTTTTTCTGAGCGGCCCTGTGAATGCCAAAAAAATGAAAAATCGGTCGAGGGATCGGTCCCGGCTGACGACAAAATTTCCATGGCTCCAAATGTTGCCGCCGATAAAAATGGGTGCTGTGCTTACAATCAGGATCATCAACCTTTCTGATTAGCTTTCTGCCCAGAATTGGGGCGAAAATTGTATGGCGCTAAAGCGGCGCCGAGTTGGTGCCCGAGGAGGCTAAAATGGCGCAATATCGCGCCTCCATCAAAAATGGACGTCAGATTCGTAATCAGCGCCTATAATTACCCTTATAGCAGTTTTAGAGAAAATCAAGATTTTGACCCGAATTCAAAAATTGGGCCAGGGAAAGCCCACGGCACGCAGGCGGCCCACTTGGAGACAGCTTCGAGATGATAGCAAGCGGTACGTTTGGCTGATAGTTACACTTCCACCGCAGTTCCTGCCCGTGGGGCAATCTGGCATCACCCCTTGATCTCGTCGATGCATGGCGTATGCTTGTGTGGCCGCTGGCTATGAGCGACGAGCATCCTAGGACATTCCTCAACGCCTACAATCTACCTTCCAAGGAAATGAAGTAGGTCCTCCTTGCGACAAAAATAACAACTGCATGTTTTTGACGTTTGCTAGGTGCAGAGGGTGTGATCGGCGTCTGTGCTTCAGATGCTTCATTGAGTTTTACCATAACTTAGTTATTTATCG